GGCGTGTGCCTTTAAAAAAGTATCTGCAAACATAGCAAACAAATCAATAGAATTAGGGGTTAAGTTATGATACCATATTAAGGAACCCTTCGATAGAGTCTCCCCGAACTTCTTCAGCAGTACGGATTCAATTTCGTCATCTTCCAAGTAATTTCCTTTGATGGCGCACGTATACGAGGTGACGTGTTTATTCGGATTGGTCGTCCCGTTATACTTGGGAATCTCGGGCATACAGAACTTCTTGGGGATTGGCTTCGGAGCCGCACTAGGGGAGAAGGGTCTTTGCACGAACTTTTTAGAATCTAGTCCTTCCAATATCGGTGGTGCCCCCGGAATTTGACCAACTTGGCAGTTGTACGCTTCTACCCTTTTGTCATTTCCTCAATCTTCTTCTCCCCCGATTCGATTCGTTTTGTGAGTTCTTCGAGCATCTTCATAATGGCAGGGTCAGTCCCCGATTCGTTCTTATTTGGCCTCTCCGGAACTGGTTCAGTTCTGTGAACAACTTCTAGTGAGGATTCAGGATCGATCCTGCTTGGCGATTATGATTTTGGAGTTGTGCTATTGCAGCTTGTTGAGTTTGCAATATTTTGAATATCATCCGAAGGCTAATCCTGCCTTCTTCACCGCTCTGTGCGTTCTGATCGGCTGTTCGAGCATCGACGCCCAAATTCCCATTAATAGCAATATGGGAGCTAACGTCGACTGGGTCCACGACCGAAACTCCATCAGGGTTGACTGGGGGTACTCCGTGTTACGCCCCGCAATATTACGTCGATATTACGTCCCGCAGTATTATATTACGATGATGTTACGCCTTGTTGTACTACATTACAATGATGTTACGCTTTGCAGTATTAAATTACGACGATGTTGCACCCTGTAGTATTGTACGTTGAATTTGTCATATGGTAATTGACATCAGTCCAAGGAAAAGATTATCTGGAGATTATAAGGATTATGCTATTTCAAACAAGTGATGAGTAAATTCATGAAGGTGAGAGGGGAAGCAAGTCAAAGAAGAAGAATTTTCGTCCAAGTTTGGCATGTTGGGATATAATACGGGCCGAGCGTTAATAACCGATATTTATGGACTAGTACCATACGAGGTACCATATGACCATGATAGTGTGATATATAAAAGGGTATTAAAAATAAGTAGAATTTTAAGTAATGTGAGATAATTCTTAATTATGTGGATAATTGGTTAATGGTGAAGATAATTATATTAAGTGGATAAGGTTTGGGACTGCCACATGGCATAAGCTAAGCCAAGTGGCAAATTATGCAAAGTGAGTCACAAGACAAAGTAATAAAATTGGTTACACGTAAAGATTGCTTGGTCTTTATTGGAAAGGTGTAGGACTTTTCAAAATTAAACAAAATAACGTTCTTACACCATTAACAGAGAAATGGCACTGATCCAACGTGAATTTCTCTGGAATCTTACAAGATCCAACGTGAAATTTCTCTGAAATACTACAAGATCTATCGTGAAATGTTAATTCAAAGAAAGCCCGGTACAATCTTTCTCAAGAATATCATTCGGATTTTTCCTTACTTCGATCCGCCGTTACGATTTTTCGCAAAAGAGAATCGGTTCGGGTATGTTAAGGCTAAGATCTTCCTTCATTTTGCATGATCTCGTGATTACACAAGTTTGATAACGAGGCAACAACAACAATAACAACAACGGCCCAGTATAATCCCACAAGTGGGGTCTGGGGAGGGTAATATGTACACAGACCTTACCCCTACCCCGAGGGGCGGAGAGGCTGTTTCCAGGAGACCCTCGGCTAAGTTTGATAACGAGTCATAAAGAAAAATTCATGTCCCGGAATCTACGTATATTTTTACTAGTCTTGTAAGTACAATATTCAACTGAGTATTTTCTTCTTCCAGTCAAGAGAGCAGAGAGTCTATATATACAGTATTACAGTATTTTTATTACCATCGAGCTATAATTGACGGGCAAGCCCCTATTGGGCAACCACTGATCAGATGGTAAGATATATACCGAGCCTACTTGAGCGAGCCCGGTTGGCCGAGATACAGAGCCTAGTATGGCCGAGCGCCTATGAGCGAGCCTACTACGGCAGAGCATTTATATATATACCGAGCCTTATAAGGCCGGACAACTATTTTACTTAATATATTGAGAGAGTTGAGTCAGTATCAGCAGGTAAGCATATCTTCAGATTATCTTTGACTTCCAGTTGCTTTCAGTTATTATATTATTAGTTCAGTTCAGCTTTTAGTATATTGCCTTACGTACTCTGTACATTATTTCGTACTGACGTCCCTTTTCTGGGGGCGCTGCATTTCATGCGTGCAGGTTCAGACAGACAGACGGGTAGACCTTCTCATTAGGTTTTGCCCGAGTTCAGCTTGATCGGTAAGCTCCATAGCCTTCGGAGTTGCCAGGTCTAAAGCTTTATGTACATCTTGTGTATATATGTATATATGTTATCAGTAGGTCGGGGAGCTGTTCCGATCACAGTATATCCATCAACAGAGGCTTGTAGACATATCCTGTCAGTTAGTGCAATATGTTGGGCTTGTAGACCTTGTATGTATATTTGGTTGGTTTGTCAGCTGCAATAATTATGACGGCTTTGTCGGCCCATCTTTATATTGATATTTAGTCAGCATTCGCAGTTGTCTTGCAATGTAGCCCATGGCTAGAGTATGACATCACATGTTCAGAGTTCCTTAGTCGCAAGTTGGTATGCAAGGATAGGTGAGGCACCGTGTGCAGGTCTCGCCCCCAGGTTCGGGGCTTGACACTCCGTTTCCTGGGGCGGCTATGGTTTTCGTTCTCGCCATGAAGATCAAGGCCATTGTCTGTGTGTGTGGGTGCTACTTGGGAGTTTGACATGTTGGTCCTGGAATCAAAGACACTTCAAAGAACAAGAACAAAATAGTGTGTGTGTGACGAAAATTGTACCAGGCAATCACTATTATGCTTAGCCCCACGGTGGACGCCAAACTGTTTACCCTTAAGATAGGATAACCGTTAAACTTATAAGTGGTTTTAAGGATATGTTATTTCACTTGGCACAAATTGATGAATGTAAGAATTAATAACCGAAAAATAAAGCAAAGCAAACCAGTGTTGAGACGGAATCCAACCCTCGAGTTAGAATGCCCCCGAGCTAACTGATACCAGAATAAGTAAAAATGAAGCAAGCTGATGAACAAGAGAATATAAGCTAAAAACAGTATTATATGGCTTTGATATGCGTGAATATATGATGATTACAAGATGATTAGGGTCCTCTTTATATAGTAGAGGAATCCTATTTATGGTATAATTCTAATTACGGAAGTAAATCCTATGATGGAATAAATAAACTGGTCCTGACTTGATACGTGTCGAGATTTCCGCCACGATCCTTGCCCGATCACGGATATCTCGGCTTTCGACCTGGCAGGCTTCCTTCGATCTCGTTAGATCTATTTCGGTCTCGATCTTGATCGGCCAATGATCACGAGCTTACCAATTCATATCTGTACCATGGTCCGATATAACCGAGGCCGAGCCTTGATCTACCACCCCGATTTCGATCAGTCATACAAAATTAAACAAGCCCAATTTTGACCGTATATAAAGATCACTTCTAGGAAAGACACTCATCTACCTTACTATCATGCAGTGCTTAATATTCCAGTTACATTTGAAAAGGACAACCAAAATGTTATTCCTTCGATTTATTTTGTGTGAACATGTATGAGTGGACATAATTAACAAAAGAAAGAAATATTTTTGAAATTAACTAGTCGTTTAAATCATAGTAGTCATCACCGGACAGTATAAGAGTCCTTTCTTTGATCGGCCTTCCCCAGACCAGAACTGAAAGGACATACCAGCCGCCGAAGGATTATTGGGCATTCCTTCATGTCGGTCAGGCGCCGATGAACACATTGAACTATCCATGTGGCTGAGAGTCCTCACAGCCCAAGCACAACATATTTGTGTTATTATAAAACTTTTGAAATTAGTGGTCTTATATATGCCATGAATTTGTGTGACTATAAAATTATATTTTAGGATAAAATTGAAAATTTAAGGTTAAATTATTTCATATATAAAAAAATTATTCTTTTTTGAAATAATCTAAGAAAGAAATATCATATAAAATGGAATTGTGGGAGCAAAATAAGTGTAGGAGATAGATGTAGCTGTTATGTCGAGAAAGAGACAAACCCCGAAAATAAAGGAGATAAAGAACACCAAATTTTAATGTGAAAAATCTTTCAAATCGGTAAATTGGCAAAACACATGAATTACATGTATTTGAAGAGTTTTCCACGTCAAATTTAATGTTTTTTTTAATCTTTTCTATTTTCTATTTTCGGATTTACTTCTTTGTTGGCGTGTCAGTAGCTTGATTGTATTATCCATATCATATTCAAACCTTCCACTATAATCCAGTCAAAACAAAAATTATGCTGAAGAATGTAGCCGAGAATTTAGGTGGATATGTCAGCTGATCACTCAAGTATTAAGGAGACTTATTGGTCCTTAATTTTTCTTCCATTATTTTAATTCCTCTATTTAATTAGCTAGTCAAACAATTGTATAATTAGGGTGAAAAACGTTAGCACTAGTTTTTTTATTTTTTTATTTTTAGGGTACCGGTCAAAAAATGACATGTTTCACATGTATTTATGCAGTTTTCAAGATTACCAAAATCCAAATACAGCTAGAGCAATATAATTAGTGGGATTACTGAGTCGCTATCCTTTTTAAAAAGATACCAATTGAGATCACGTTTTGGAAATTAGTGATAGATAATATTGACAAAATTACATACAATAATTGTAGATTATCAGAAAACGTATAGATAATGGTAATGTCAAACAATTTTTAATGAAAAAGGCTAATAAAACAAGAAAGCAACTCATATGGCCCATTTCTTGTCAACTCAATAGGTCCATATTGATGTGATTTCAACAATTTCATCCCTCCATTTTCACCTGTTTCCTTCAACCTTTGTTTAAACTCTCCATATTTCTCACACATTTAGACTTACACACAAACAGATCAATATTCTCGATCTATTTCAATTCCTCTCTAGCCATGTCAAGTAGTGATCATAGAGGCAAAGATTTGGCTGAGGGATCATCAAGATCCCCAGGAGATCAATCAATAACAACACCTAGTCGATACGAGTCCCAAAAACGACGAGATTGGAATACTTTTAATCAGTACTTGAGGAATCAAAGGCAACCAATTTCGCTATCTCAGTGCAATAGCAACCACGTACTAGAGTTTCTTCGGTACCTGGACCAATTTGGAAAGACTAAGGTTCACTTACAAGGTTGTATGTTCTATGGACAACCCGAGCCACCAGCTCCTTGTACTTGTCCGCTCAGACAAGCTTGGGGTAGCCTCGATGCACTCATCGGTAGGCTTCGAGCCGCCTATGAAGAAAATGGCAGCTCACCTGAGACGAATCCTTTTGCTAGCACGGGGATTCGTGTGTATCTTAGGGAAGTGAAGAAGTGTCAAGCTAAGGCGCGTGGCATTGCATATAAGAAGAAACAAAAGAAGGCTAGCCCCAGTAAAGGAGATGATGATTCCACTTCTGCAGGATTCTCACATTTTCATGATCCACTAATGTAGTTCTATTGCCCTGTGCCTTCCCCTCGAAAATAGTAAGATCTTTCACACACTCTTAAGTACTTTAAGAGTCAGTCATTTGGTTTATAGTCTAATAGTATGGGATTATAGAATAGAAGGGGAGTCTTGGCGTAACCCATAAAGTTGCTGTCATGTGATTAGGAGGTCACGTGTTCGAGCCGTGAAAACATCCTTTTGCAGAAATGCAGGGTAAAACTGCCTATAATAGACCCTTGTTGTCCGTCATAATTAGTGCACCGGGCTGTCCTTAGTATGAGATTAATACAAATATTGTTCACGCCTGCGATATTTCTGACGCGAAACATAAATTAATATGTTAAAACCCACTAAGATTTCTATAAATATAACAGTAGATTTTAAATCCAAATATAAATTTAGACGTACAATAAATTCAGTGTTAAGAATTTAAAGGTTGTATCCATTGTTAACAAATTTTTTGAATCCGTCTCTGATTCATGCGGTGAATAATAATGCAGTGATTGTTATGTGAAAGCGCTCAGATATTTTATGAAAAATGAAAAGGGTATAGATGTGATGAAATTCACTATAGCTCTGAGTATTTTTAGGGATGGTTTAAAATGTTGAACTAGGTTTCTCGATACTCCTACTAATTAATATTTTGGATTATTATTTGACAAGGTAGGGGTTGATGTTTGATTTATAAGAAAAACAAACTGGGAAGAAAACCTGGTGGGAGAAAAGCAGATACTGCATTTCACAAACAAACTAAAGGCCTGATTATGAAGAGGAAATGGGAAAGTTTCAGCTCTTTAATTTATCTCAAACCCTAGAAATGCTAGTGGATATATAAATGCAAAAATCTAATTATTGATATCCCATAATTCTGTATTATAATCTTTATCAGGCAAAAATACTATAATTCAAATCTCACTTCCACTAGCTTCATAAATAAGAATTTACATATGTATGGCTCATATATGAGAATAATAATTCGACTCACAAACCTATAAAAAATTATATAATTAAGTAAATAAAAGTTTGATCTTTATTTTTTAAATGAAATGATCATACAAATACTCATAAAGCTATTCGAATATTTGGATTATGAAAAGATTATGTAACTACGCAAAATTTAAAATATGACATCATTGGGGGTTGTAGTGCCAAGGATAGGATCCAGAGTTCTCGAGTTCGAGCTTAAAAAATAAAAAGATTTTAGTAGGGAGGGCTTGTCCTTTACCGATTTTTATGCGGCACGAATGCAACTTAATCTGAATATTAATGTGGGTAATAAAGAATAAGAGGGCAACCAAACAACAGAAAAAAAGAAGAAAAATGAAACATGACAAAACAGAAAAGAGAAGGAATTTTATTTGACGCATGTGAAAAATGAAGAAGCTCGTGCTCTTTCTCGGTCTTTGCCAATAGCAAATTGGTCTAGAATTTACCCCTTTAATTTCCTCACTTTCTGCCATGAGTAAAAGCTGTCTGCATGCAATAAGATTCGAATATAGTAAACAAATCCCAGATAGATTATATGTCAGTTTATTTTGTTTATATTCTTTTTGGACTTTTGTCCCCCCCCCCCCCCCCCCCCCCAAATTGCCACACATATATAGTAACTTGAGGTAAATACGCTTTTGCATGTCAAAAACTTATTTTGCAGACTGCTGGGGAGAGCCAAACAAAAGACCTAGTTGTGAGGAAACTGCAAATACTCACTATAATAGTAAAGTCATCATTCAGTACATATATCTATATTCAATACATAATCAAAAGAATTTCTCTCAAAAAGGTGAAGAATTTCCCTTGCTTTTCTTTTGCTTCCCTCGTGCGCCGCACACTTCACTCCACGACCGATGGCTCGTGACATATGCATAATTTTTTTTAAGTGATATCAACATTTGAAGTGAATAAATGAATAAATGATCACTATAATGACATGCACTCTCCTTTATCTATATACACATATTTAATAAAAATTTTTGAACGAAGCAGTGTAACGTAACACCGCATGGAGCTATCTGCCCCCTCGTGGTACATGCTGCTCACCCTTCCTTCCTATGAGAATCGTGTGAAACTAAGGGTAAACAAAAGATAAGGAGGTCCTCTCGGCGGAGCTAGAAATTCAAATAAGGGGATAATTTTTTTAAAGAATCTTGCTAAAGGGATTCAACAACTTAATATTTTATTGTTTTCAAGTTCATGTCAAGCCTATTGTTTATTTTGGACTGAGCAGACTTTCGATCAAATCGATACAGTTTCTTTTACGTATTTAAAATGCTATTTCTTATTTTTCCTTTTATTATTATTTTTGACTATTAGTTGTTTCTTTGAACGCGATTCAGGAGTTGCAGAAAACGATACTATTCCCCGTGAATGAAGGGAAAAGAAGTTTCGACAAAAAGGGGACTGTCAAATAAATAAATGCTCTCGTTGAGAGTCGAACTCAAGACCTCCCGCTTACTAAACAGATGCTCTAACCAACTGAGCTACGAGAGCTACTTGACATAAGCTTTCTTGATCACAACTATATTTACACAAGGCAACAAACTGGTCTGACTATTTTTTCTTTTCTTGTATAATTTGAGGGTATTGACGAAGTTCTATGAAATATGGAAATTCATATAGGACAATATAGAGGGATTTAATACAAATAAGCAAATGCATTTTTCCACTATCGATAGCAATAGTATGCGCAATTTACTTTTGAGTGTAATGGTAGATGTTGGGAAACTGAGACCAAGTATGGTATGGCAAAAGTATTTCATACTTATCGAAAATAACATTTCTATCTTACACAAGGTAGGAACAAGATTTGCATACATTGTATTCTCCCCAAATCCCACTTGTGAGATCACATTATGTAACAACCTCCAAATATGAACACTCACAATAACAAAAGAAGACTGATTGTTCAATTAATAACCAAAATACAGAAGGAAAATTACAGAAGGATAGAAGAATACTAACCTGGAAGAAGGGGATGAGAATGCACAGGATATGGAATAGGGGATGAGAAATAGAAGACAACCCAGTCAGTAACATAACATCCCGAATTTCACCTAGCCTACTACTATTTATTATTTTTCCATTTGCCCAATTCTTTCCTCACGTGCCCTTATCCAGGGTCTCACACGTAATTTGCTAATTTTTTCAATGTGCCTGTCATGAGATTATTTTCATTCATAACAACACCCCCGTCCTCAATAAGAACCTTATCCTTAAGGTTCGAGTAGAGCAACATTGATAGGATAACAGTGATTATTTCAAGACTTGAATGTGGCTCAGGAGTTCAATCAAAAAGATATGGGTCGACAAAACCGCTAGCAAACCGATCCCATGAGACTAATATTGTAAAGCTCAATGTCGGAATAGGTAACACCTTTGCATTAACAATTGGAGCAGCAGTTGGGATCGCACAAGCTAATTCTCGAAAAATAGCATCGACTTCAACCATATTTAGGCTGACAACACATTGTTCCACCACATGTCCAGCCAAGACAGGACATAATCTCTTCAAAGTCTCCTTGTAAGCATGATCTCTTAGGACAATGGAAAACTTTCTTTGTTGCTGGACATGCATGGCAGGTGATCCTAAGAACATCTCAACAGATTTGCTATCAGTTGGGTCATCTGTGGGTACTTGCATATTTTTAATCAAGGTCCGCCACCATATCGACTCAATGCTCCATGAGCCAAGATGTGACTCTCTCTAAGTCAATTGTTGAAGTGCTCTCGTCGTGCCAATCAGCAATAAATTTCAAAAGGTCAAGCTTGCTTGATTGTTTGGTTCCTAGAATCAATTTAATGAGTCCCTCCGAACTCATATTTACTAGATGATCATCCAAATGTTTAATGATCGTCACAAACCCCACAAGAGCTTGCACTAGCTTCATTGCGATGGTGTCGTCATTTCCTTCTCGTGCAAAGAAGTCATGAAGAGCTGTACAGAGACAGAATTTCAGTTCTTCAAGCTCACTATCTATCTTAGGCTCACAATCTGCACATAGTGTAATGACCCGGCCGGTCGTTTCATGAGTTATAGCCTCGTTTCCCCCATTTCTGCTTTTTTATGTGTTCTTCAGCTGTATTTCATCGCATTGTGTTGGTTGGTTCTGGTTCGAAGTGGTTTTGGAGTGAATTGATACACTTAGTCTCTTTTGAGAAGGCTTAAGTTGGAAAAGTCAACCGGATGTTGACTTATTTGTAGATGATCTAGGATGTGAATTCTGATGGTTCGATTAGCTCCATTAGGTGATTTTGGACTTGGGAGCGCATCTGGAATGTGATTTGGAGGTCCGTGGTAGATTTAGTCTTGAATTGGCAAAATTAGGAATTTGGCGTTTCTCGGTCGGCAGTGGAAATTTTGATATCTGGGTCGGAATGGAATTCTGGAAATTGGAGTACGTCCATAGTGTCATTTGTGATGTGTGTGCAAAATTTCAGGTCATTTGGGGGGGGGGGTGGATTAATAGGTTCCGGCATCGTTTGCGGAATTTGGAAGTTCTTAGGCTTGAATCCGAGGTTGATTTGGTGTTTGGATGTTGTTTTGAGTGTTCCAAAGGTTTGAATAAGTTTGAATGGTGATATGTGACTTGTTGGTATTTCTGGTTGAGGTCCTGAGGGCCTCAGGATGAATTCGGGTGGTTAACGGAAGAGTTGAAATTGAGTTGTGCAGCTAAAGCAGCTGCTTCCAATGTTTCTGCACGTTTCTACACCTGCGGAATGGGGACCGCAGGTGCGAGGTCGCAGATGCGGTATGGCAGCCGCAGATGCAGAATTTGGGGGCTAAGGGAAGAACCGCATATGCGATAGGTTTGACGCATCTGCGGGACCGCACGGTTCTTGGGGCGCAGATGCGGTCCTAGGCGTTTAACTGAAAACCGCAGGTACGAGAAAAGGGCCGCAAGTGCGGAAATGCCTGGGCAGAAGGTATAAATTAAACCCTTCAAGATTTTTTCCTATTTCCTCCATTTATGAAGACGAGATTGGAGCTTTTGGGGAGTTTTGAAGAGGGAATCAAGGGGTTCTTCATTGTGGTAAGTTTCTTGTGCCTAACACTCGTGATTATGGTGATTTTCAGTTATTTAAGCATGAAATTAGTAGAAATTAGGGATGAAATTGAAGGGATTAGGGCTTGAAATTGGACAGTTTAATTTGAGGATTTGAGGGACCATTTGATATCGAATTTTGATGATTTTGGTATGTATAGACTCGTGAGTGAAAGGAGTTTCTAGTTTTGTGATTTATGTCGGATTCCGAGACGTGGGCCCAGGGGCCGGGTTTGTGTGAATTTCGGGATTTTGGTATAATTTGATAATTTTTCGTATGGAATTGATTCATTGGCCTATATTGATTGCATTGTATTGCTTTTGGTCAGAATCGGGACGTTTGGAGGCCAATTCCAGAGGCAAGGGCGTCGCGGAGTAGGGATTTTGATCGGTTTGAGGTAAGTAATGATTGTAAATCTGCTCCTGAGGGTATGAAGCCCCGGAGTTCACATCATTTCACTATTATGAGGTGACACACATGCTGGATGCCGAGCTTGTGGGCTTACACCGTTGGGTATTGTGACTTGGTCCATTCCGTAGCAACTATTAATTACGTATTTGACTGAAAACTGTATGATACTTGTGTGTTTTAGAAAGAATTTCTATAATTTGGGCTGAATGCCATATTTGGGTCTCGTGCCAAGCTGTTTGGACCCTTAGGGGCCTTTTCTTATTATTTCCTCACTGTTTTGAGTTAAGATCTATACTCAGTCATGCTATGTTTTACTGATTTCATAACTCAGTCCTTACTACTCCATTTTGATGCATAAAATGATATTTTGGGTTGTGCACCCTATTTTACTGATAGCCCGAGTGGCTTGAGAGGTTTCTGACTGAGTGAGGCCGAGGGCCTGTGTTGTGAGGATATTATGGGATCGGGCTGCGCGCCGCAGCATGTTGTTAATGGTTTGTGATTATGAGAGGCCGATGGCCTGATTGATTATGCCACGAGGTGGCTTATTATAGCGCTTGGGCTGTAGGAGCCCCTCCGGAGTCTGCACACCCCTAGTGAGCGTAGGTACCCTGAGTGAGTGATTTGGTGTTATGCCCGAGGGGCCGTTCTTGATTCATATTGTGCCCGGGGGGCTGTTTACGAGTGACTGTGAGGTTTGCCCGAGGGGCTGATTCTGAGTGATGTTATGCCCGAGGGGCAGTTTATGATTCATGTTGCCCGAGGGGCTGTGGACGAACTATGTTTTTCCCGAGGGGCTGTTTATGATTTTCATCACTTTTACTCTAAACTATATTGAGTCTTTGTTGAAACTGTTGAAAGGCATTTTCAAATGATTTTTTTTCGAAAACTGGATTTTTAAACGAGATGATTTGACATATATACTGCTTGAAAGCATGTTGTACTTACTGAGTTTTTTAGATGTGGATTTCTATGTGTTTCCTATTGCTCAGTCTTTATTTACCTTTATTACTTACTGAGTTGGTGTACTCACATTACTCCATGCACCTTGCATGCAGATCCAGGGGTTGCTGGACGTGTTAGCGAGCGTTGAATCTTCATCCGTCGCGGATATGTTGGAGTTGACAAGGTAGCTGCATGGCGATCGCAACCTTGTTTTTCTCCCTCCTATCTTCCTATAGATATTAGTAGTTGATTTCCAGACGATTTTAGTCTTGTTATATTTCAGAACTGTTGTAGTATTTGCTCATGACTTAGTGACACCCGAGGTCGGGCTTTTATTTCCGCATTTTGGTTTTGAGTTTCTCTCTTTTTATGGAAATTTCTGTATGAAAAAGGTTATTGTCTAAATTTTAATGAAATGTTGAATTATTTGGAAATGTGTCGGCTGGCCTAGTTCCATGATAGGCGCCATCACGACCGGGTTGGTTTTGGGGTCGTGACAAGTTGGTATCAGAGCCTAAGTTACATAGGTCTCACGGGTCATGAACAGGTTTAGTAGAGTTTCGCGGATCGATACGGAGATGTCTGTACTTATCTTCGAGAGGCTGCAGAACCTTTATGAAAAACTTCACATTCTTGAATTCTTGTCGTGCAAGTCTGTTGATTCTGGTAACTAAACTTCTGTTATTCTATTCTCTCACAAATGGTGAGGACACGTGCTACCGGTCAGGACGGACGACCACCAGTACCACCAGTTGGGGCCACGAGAGGCCGAGGTCGCGATCGAGGCCGTGGTAGGGGCAAGGGTGTAGCCTGCACAGCAACTAGGCCAGCACCTGCAGATCCACCAGCCACCCCAGTACATGATCAGGTCCCAGTTGTGGATGCTCCAGCAGGACCAGCTCAGGCACCGGCTGTGCCTATTGTTATTCCAGGTCTTCAGGAGACCTTGGCTCAGATCTTGACCGTGTGCACCAGTCTTGCTCAGGCGGTCATAATTTCTACTACACCAGCTACTTCCCAGGCCGGGGGAGGCACTCAAACTCCCGCCGCTCGTACACCCGGGCAGGTTGTTCAGGGACTGCAGACACCGGAGGCACCACCATCCTAGCCGGTTGCACCTGCTAAGGACTATATGGTACCGTTCATGCCTGATGACAAGCAGTGTAGATTGGAGAGGTTTGGTAGACTTCAGCCTCCGACTTTCAGTGGTACAGAGGGCGAGGATGCCCAGGGCTTCTTGGACAAGTGTTA